AGTCATTGCGAGCTGCGCATGGAGTCAAGTGCAAGTCAAGTGCAAGTTGCAAGGAGTCAAGTGCAAGTTGCAAGTGCAAGTTGCAAGTGCAAGGAGTCAAGTGCAAGTTGCAAGTGCATGGTGCAAGTTGCAAGTGCAAGTCAAGTGCAATTGCACTTGCGAGGAGTTAAAATCTCTTCTTAGGGCGGCGGGGTAGTGCCGACGACACTACACGAAAATCGACCCTCTGCGGGGATCGGCGTGGTCGAGGTGCAAAAACCCATGGTTTTTTGCGATTTCTAACCTGCTCGCGCGACCCTCTGCGGGGATCGGCGTGGTCGAGGTGCAAAAACCCATGGTTTTTTGCGATTTCTGCGCTGCTCGCGCGACCCTCTGCGGGGATCGGCGTGGTCGAGGTGCAAAAACCCATGGTTTTTTGCGATTTCTGCGGTGCTCGCGCGACCCTCTGCGGGGATCGGCGTGGTCGAGGTGCAAAAACCCATGGTTTTTTGCGATTTCTAACATGCTCGCGCGACCCTCTGCGGGGATCGGCGTGGTCGAGGTGCAAAAACTCGAGGTTTTTTGCGATTTCTAACATGCTCGCGCGACCCTCTGCGGGGATCGGCGTGGTCAAGGTGTAAAAACCCATGGTTTTTTGCGATTTCTAAAGCTCCCGCGCGACCCTCTGCGGGGATCGGCGTGGTCGAGGTCCTCGGGAGTTGTCTCGTGGTTCGCACGCCTGCTCCCGGAACCGGCGGGTCGCGGGTTCGATTCCTCCCTGGTCCGCGGGCGGGCGTCGCAAGATGCAACTTGCATTTTAAAGCAACTTGCGCAGAGCAACTTGCGCAGAGCAAGTTGCACAGAGCAACTTGCGCAGACCAACTTGCACCGACCAGTTTGCGCAGAGCGCCTTGCCTAGAGCAACTTGCGCAGAGCAACTTACGCAGAGCAACTTGCACAGAGCAACTTGCACAGAGCAGCTTGCACAGAGCAACTTGCAGGGAGCGCAATTTGCACAGAGCAACTTGCAGGGAGCCACTTGCAGGGACCAACTTGCCGGAGCAACTTGCGCGGAGCAACTTGCGCAGAGCAACTTGCACAGTGCAACTTGCGTAGAGCAACTTGCGCAGACCAACTTGCGCAGACCAACTTGCACCGACCAGTTTGCGCAGAGCATAAGAAAGTAGTGGCGGGGAGCATGGCGCACACGGCTTATTTACGGGCATGGCGCACACGGCTGGTTGTTATGTGGCATCTTGCGGATGATCATCGAGATTTGGCTCAAACAGAAGTCATGGAGCTCGAAGTAGCTAGGCTTCAGGCTGGCGCGGCCCAGCATGGCAAAGCGTGGCTGCAGCAAGAGGTGGCGGCCAAAGCCCAACCCCAACTTCGCGCACTCGCCCGACAGCTGGATGTGCGCCAATGGGTCGCAGGCAGCAACGTGACCAAGGCAGACCTAGCTGCCGCTGTCGTGGAGAAGCTGTGCCCACAGGCCAGGATCGAAATCTGGAGAGTTTTGCTGGTGTTTGTTTTGCTGTGCTGATTGTTGCCAGGAGCCAGCAGTTCTGCGGCTTCGCCGACGCCGGTGTCTCGACTTGGTCGTAGTCGGTGTTTGACGCTATTGTTTTTGATGATGTTTTGCGGATGGCCGAAATGTAAGCACCAGATGGCACCATGTCGTGTTTCTTACGGACGGTTGCCTCATCTCATGGACATGGCAGGATGAGGCAGAGCTTGTCGTGGCCACGCTTCGTGCTGGTTTGTCGGAGAAGGGCAAGGCGTGGCTCCAGCAAGAGGTGGCGGCCAAAGCCCAACCCCAACTTCGCGCGCTCGCCCGACAGCTGGATGTGCGCCAACGGGTCGCAGGCGGCAAAGTGACCCAGGCAGACCTAGCTGCCGCTGTCGTGGAGCAGCTGTGCCCACAGGCCAGGATCGAAATCTGGAGAGTTTTGCTGGTGTTTGTTTTGCTGTGATGATTTTTGCCAGGAGCCAAGCAGTTCTGCGGCTTCGCCGACGCCGGTGTCTCGACTTGGTCGTAGTCGGTGTTTGACGCTATTGTTTTTGATGATGTTTTGCGGATGGCCGAAATGTAAGCACCAGATGGCACCATGTCGTGTTTCTTACGGACGGTTGCCTCATCTCATGGACATGGCAGGATGAGGCAGAGCTTGTCGTGGCCACGCTTCGTGCTGGTTTGGCGGAGAAGGGCAAGGCGTGGCTCCAGCAAGAGGTGGCGGCCAAAGCCCAACTTCAACTTCGCAGGCAGCAACGTGACCAAGGCAGACCTAGCTGCCGCTGTCGTGGAGAAGCTGTGCCCACAGGCCAGGATCGAAATCTGGAGAGTTTTGCTGGTGTTTGTTTTGCTGTGCTGATTGTTGCCAGGAGCCAAGCAGTTCTGCGGCTTCGCCGACGCCGGTGTCTCGACCTGGTCGTAGTCGGTGTTTGTCGCTATTGTTGTTGATGATGTTTTGCGGATGGCCGACATGTAAGCACCAGATGGCACCATGTCGTGTTTCTTACGGACGGTTGCCTCATCTCATGGACATGGCAGGATGAGGCAGAGCTTGTCGTGGCCACGCTTCGTGCTGGTTTGTCGGAGAAGGGCAAGGCGTGGCTCCAGCAAGAGGTGGCGGCCAAAGCCCAACCCCAACCCAGAGGATCCAGGATCAAAAAAAATCAATCCATGAAAATGAAGATTGATATTCGCATATTTTAGGTGTTTTTAAGTGTTTTTTAAAGCTATTTTTTTTGAAGGAAAAGATTGATATTTTCTCCAAAAAAGATTGATATTTTTTGAAGTGTTTTTCAACCAAAATATCAATCTTTTTTTCGATTGTAAGGTTTCTTAGAATGAATGCAGGTTTATGAAATGGTTGCAGCTCGCAGAAGGGGACAGATCAAAGGGCATGCTGCTTGCCTCAGAAATGGGCAGCGACCAAGAGGCAGACTGCATCAGATCATTGCAGATGTTTGAAAACTGCAGTTGCCGCGTTTGGCCTAGATCTTGCAGTCAACACATAGGCGCAATGGGAAAGAGGGAGCAGGTGACACCACTGGACCAGTCAGTGCTGGACATGGCCCTGCACAGCAATAAAAGCTGGCAGGACTTGGGTGCCTATGAGACCATCAGCAAAGCACAGGCTGCAGATGGAGAAAGTTTAGCCATGCACTTTGACTTGCTGAAGAGCTTGCTGCTGGTTCAGCCTGAAGGCCAGCTTCTGCTGACCCAGGTGAGAGCTTCAATCCTGAAGGCGGTGAGCTTGGAACCTGAGTTGAACAAAACCAGCTTGAAGAATCTACTCTGGGCTGGAAGCAGGTTTGACAGGATCTCTACCATGCTCTACCACTTGAGGAGGGCAAAGAACAACACAGAGAAGTGCCAGCAGCTGGTTGCCAAGTCATCATCTGGTTCACTTGCCAAAGTGAAGTCCCTCATTGCCATGCTGACCAGTGAGGCAGGGCCAGCTGAGGGTGAGGTAGGGCTTGCTGAGGATGAGCCATGCCCTGCTCAGGGTTTGCAAGAAGATCTCCAAAGTGAAGCACCACACACCCCAGTGCCTGCAAGCAAGCAGCAAGGCCAAGGCGCAGAGGAAAAAGAGCCATGCTCCTCGAGCTCCTCAAGCCGCAAAAGCCCAAAGCTAAAGACAAAGAAGCAGCCAGAGCATGGCAAGAAGAGCCCTTTCCACTACAGAAAGGAGTACTACAAGAATGGCAACAAGTTTGGTGTTAAGAAGTTTAACAATGGGAAGTGCGTGGGCCAGATTTTTGCTTTTGGGCACAAGGAAATCCACAAGGTGGAATTGGATGCCTTGGCATCCAAAGTCCTACACGATCTTCATTTGAGGCCAGGGGACACGGCCAAAGAAGAGGAGATCATGCTCCTGGCCAAGCACAAAGTTTGGAAGATGCTGAAGAATAAGCATGATTAGTTTGGCATGCTGTCTATAGCTTGGGGTTGTCTCACACGTAAAGACATCAGAGGGATCCATGCAACACATTCATCCTTGCTAGAGGGCTAGCCTCTGCAGAAGAGGTGCACCAAGTAAACCTTGTTTTTTGTGGAAGTTTGTTATCCATGCAACACATTCATAGAGGGCTAGCCTCTGCAGAAGAGGTGCACCAAGTAAACCTTGTTTTTTGTGGAAGTTTGTTATGCCAGAAAGCCCCTGCAGAAGGGAGCTGAAAAACAATTCCCCTGCAGAAGGGGCGGAGAAGAGAACAAACAGCAAATCCTTTGCTGAAAAAGCAATTCCCCTGCAGAAGGGGATGGGGAAAGCAAAGCACAGCCTCTGCAGAAGAGGGTGCGCGCGCAAGCCTCTGCAGAAGAGGCTGCAGGAATATCTTGCATGAGCTGATTTGCAAGCGTTTGAGCACACACACATTAATTGTTGGTGCTGCAGTTCCATGGCTCAAGCTGAGATTAGCTTGCAAGTAAAACACTTGCTGGTGAGAAGCATGAATAACATGCAGCCTGGGATCATGACTGTGGAGCAGCTGCAAGCCATGCTGCACGCCCAGCTGCAGCAAGGGCTGGGCCAGGGGCCTGTCCGAATGCAGCCCTTGAGCATGCATCTGCTGCAGACGCAGCAGCAGCAGCCGCAGCAACAGCAGCAGCTGCCGCAGCAGCTGCCACAGCAGCAGCAGCAGCAGCAGCTTGACGAACAAGAGATGTGCAGCAAGTTGCTGCAGGCTTTGAGCTCTGGGCCAGGATTCTGGACGTCAGATGATGCAGCTGGAGATCTTGACCTTGAGCAAGGCAACAGCAGGGACAGGAGGCTGGCCAAAAGGAAGGTTGTGCAAAAAGCCATTGTGAACCTGCTGGCCAGCCAGCTGGACCAAGGAGGGCAAGGAGGCTGGGCAAAAGTGCAGGAGCTGCTGCAAAGCTTGCAACCCAGCTTCCTCAGCTGATGGTGGGAAAGTTGCAGCCAGCTGGAAAGGCTGGTGCAGAAGGTGTGGGGTCCAAGCTTACAGGAACAGGGGCTGGTGCGACAACTGCGGGTATGGCCAAAAGAGGAAATGGCATGGAAGCTGGGAAGAAGAAAGCAAAAGCAAGCGGCAGGAGCAGGGCGAGCAGGAGGCAAATAAGCAAGAAGTGGCAAACTTTGAGAAGAAGGAGGTGGCCAACTTTGAGAAGAAGGAGGTGGCCGAGAAGAAGGAGTCACAGCAGCTGGTGAACTACCTGCTGAGCCAAGGGAAGAGCGAGCAGGAGGCCAAAGAGGAAGCCAGCAACTTCGAAAAGATGCAGGCCCTGCAGGAAACAGAAGAAAAGATGGCAGCAGATGCTGTGCAGTTGGCAGCTGAGCAGGAGCAAAAGGCTGCAGCTGAGGAGAAAAAAGCAGCAGCTGAGGAGAAGCAGCTCGCAGAAGCAGTGGCCAAGCTTGCTGAGGCATCTGCAAAGAGGAAGGCTGCTCAGGAGGCAAGAGCTGCAGCTGAAAGTGCAAAGCTGCTGAAGAGAAAGCTCTGCAGCTGATCTCAGAAGTTGCAGAGCAGATGAAGGAGCAGGATGCAACGAATGCAGCTGAAGAGAGTGCAGCAGATGCCTCTGAGACTGAGCCGCCTTCACCTCCCAAGGCCACAGAGAAAAGGAAGAAGAGCAAGAAGAACAAGCAGCCAAAGACCAAGAAGAGCCCCAAGAAGAGCCCCTTTGACCCGAGGTGAGAGCTGTATACAATATTGCATGAGAATAATATATTCATGGCGATTGCACTGCGCAAGTGCTATTTTCCATGCATTGCAGTCTTCCAGACCTGAGGAAAATGCTTTGAGCGCGTTTTTCCATTGCAGGGGGGGGAGATTCGCATTGCAGAAGTTGCAACATGTCCAGCTGAATCAGGGGAGAGTCAATTAAGCCTCTGCAGAAGAGGCAATAGTGCTGTTTTGATTTAGTTGACAATTGTTTAGAAACTGTTCAAGGGACAGCTTTGGTGCCATGGTGGTAAAGCCCCTGCAGAAGGGGCAGGAAAGACTGAGCAGGCATCCTGAAGAGCAAAACCCCTGCAGAAGGGGGATCTGAGGCAAGCTGTTTGAGAAACACATATGTGCACGCAGTAGCCATGCAGCCTTGGATGTTCAAGAAGTGGCTTCCAGATAGCTTTGCTCCTTAGCAGGAAATGTCTGGGCCCATGAGGGTCCAGCTTGTTCCGGCCATTGGAGGTGACCATCTGATGTGGAGCCACAAGAACATGGTTGTCTTCGCCAGCATCAGAGGTGGACCTGTGGAAGCCTACCTGGAGCGTGAAGATGGGACCAAAGAAATGGTTGCATTTGATGCACCAAGCATCACGAATGCTGAGGAGAGGTGGTCTCAAATGAGTGAGAGGCCAGAGCAGCTGGCAAGGTGGTTGCAGCAAAGCCCAGATGAGTGGATGAAAATGCTGCAGCTTTTGGAGGTGGCGCACGCAATGAAACTTTTTGAAGCCTGGAGACATCAAGAATTTGTGAGCTCTGACTTCAAGCTTGTGAGAGCTTGGGTGCATGATTTGCCTGAGCCTAGCAAGGGCCATGGCAAAGGCAAAAACAAGCACACACAGCCTCAAAAAGGCAAAGGCAATAGGAAGGGTGTCACTGTGATGAAGGGCAAAGGCAAACTTTGGTGTGAGCATTGCCAAAGTGCTTGCCGCCCACTGTGCATGTGCCACTGCCATGATGTAGCCTTGGAACACAGGTACTGGGGCCAAGTGTAAGCACCTGATCACTGCTGGTGCAAAGGCAAAAAAAGTGCGGTGTGACGAATTCACATGGTTTGGCTTTATTACAGACATTTTGTCTGTGCCATGCTACAGGTAGTTTGGTATGTTTTTTGTGGCCTGCATTGTAAATACTACAGTCTGTATTACAGATTTTTTTATCTGTATTACAGATTTTTTATCTGTATTACAGATTTTTTTTATCTGTATTACAGGTATTTTTTATCTGTATTACAGATTTTTTATCTGTATTACAGATTTTTTATCTGTATTACAGATTTTTTATCTGTATTACAGATTTTTTATCTGTATTACAGATTTTTTATCTGTATTACAGATTTTTTTTTTATCTGTATTACAGATTTTTTATCTGTATTACAGATTTTTTATCTGTATTACAGATTTTTTATCTGTATTACAGATTTTTTATCTGTATTACAGATTTTTTATCTGTATTACAGATTTTTTATCTGTATTACAGATTTTTTTCTGTATTGCAGGTGTTGTTTTTTCTGTATTACAGATGTTTTTTTCTGTATTGCAGATGTTTTTTCTGTAGTACAGATGTTTTTTCTGTATTACAGATGTTTTTCTGTATTACAGATATGTTGCCTGTACTACATACTTAGCAGAAGTATGTGTTTGTTGTTTCAGTCTGGTTTGTTGCTTTGTTTTTTTTTTGCATCTGGCTCATTCATGGAAGCATTGGGGATGTGAAGAAGGCCCTGCAGAAGGGCTCTCAAATGCATCTGGTTTTGCAGAAGGGCCAGGGCATTGGGAAACTGCATTTGGCCCTGCACAAGGGCCAAGTCCAATGTGGAAAGTGAATCTGGCCCTGCAGAAGGGCCAGATGCAATATATAGGAGTGTGCCTGGCCATCATGTTGTGAGGGCGCAAGTGCTGCATTTATTGCAATGTTCTCAGGCTTGCATGCGTTGCCACAAGTGGATCTGTGTAGCAAAGTAGATTGAGCACTGAAGACACTGAGCCATGGGGCCCCGCAAGAGACCCTCCATGAGCACATCAGGTGAAAGCAAGAGCAAGTCGGCCAAGGCTGAGGGTGTAAGCCTGCCTGATTCAGAAGGGCCCACCCCTGTACCAGTCGACCAGACTGAAGAGCCTGAAAAAGCAGGCAAGAGCCAGAATGAGGACCCAAGCCCGCTTGACCACGTGAAGTCTGAGTTGAGCAAGTCCGAGAGCTTGAACATGAAGCTGGAGTTGCTGAGGAGCAACACCGACTTGTCTGCAGACGATAAGTTGCAGCTTTTGAACGACCACTTGACCTTGGGTGACTGGAACAAGCTCAATGGCAGGTTTTCCTCAGCCAGGAAAAAAAACAGTGAAATTGACAAGTTGGCTGCAAGCCAAGGGCAGAAAGCTCACAGGCACTTGGTTGGCTGCCTTGCCCTTGACCCAACCATGACTGATGTCTGGCAAGAGCTAACCCACACTGTGAGGGGGAGCCAAAATCTCGAGAAGACTGATGAGTGGATCAGCTGGACCAAGATGTTGCAAGAATGGAGTGAGGAGGAGCTGACGATGCACATTCACGGTGGAAGAATCTCTGAAAGGGAGTGCCCAGACACACCTGGAGTTTGGGAATTCAAAGACAACAACAAGGTGAAGACAACCAAGGTGTTGGGCAGAGATAAGCAGCTCAGCAAATCTTCCAAGAGCCAGCTCAAGCCAGAGACCAAGGAGGACGATGATGATGACTGGGACAAGGCTTGGACTGCCTTTGGCTCAGCATCCAGCATTGCCAAGGGCAAGGGGAGCATGAAGGGTAAGACTTCCAAAGGCATTGGCAAGAAAGGAAAAGCAAACAAAGATGATGAGGAGCAGGTGACCAAGAAACAAATCCAGTGGCTGAAATCTGCTTTGTCCAAAGCCATCACTGTCGTGGGCTGCAAGGCATTTGAAACCACAGATGGTGACAAAAGAGGGCACGCAGCCAAAGCAAAGGGTGAGCTGGAAGAGATCCTCTCCAAAGTGTCCGAGAAGGGCGATGTGTGGGAGCACAAGGAGTTCCAGGCCATTCAGCAGAATGCCAAAGAGAAGATTGCCTTGTGCAAAGAAATATTTGGCTGAGAGGCTAGGATAGCAGCTGGAGTAGAAATGCTGCGCACCAGAGACCGATCTGACTGAGAAAACAATGGCGTCTGTGCCAGCTGCATAGATTGCTGGCACGCATGTTGAGGATCTGGTTCAAGCAAAGGGCAAGGTTAGCAGCATGCTGTCAGTTGAAGAACTTGCCTTGCTGGCAGATTATAAGATTTGCCTGTCCTGTTGGCTGTGCCAACTGGAGCCATACCTGCCAAGGAGTTCATGCAAGCAGCCTTGCTCATGCATGTGTTTTCATGAATGTGTTTTCTTTGCATGCAGGACTGAGTACTTGAAGCTGTGGCAGATTTGCAAAGACTGTCGGTGTGAATTCGATGAAGCTGAGCCTCCAGAATTGAGTTTAGCATCAGTTGGTGTAATTCGACTGCAGACCATTGCAAAGGAGCCGACAGATGACCCAGAGATGCAATAGCCAAGGTTGTGAATCTGTTGCGCTGCAGAAGTGCATTCCAGCTTATAGCTAGTATAGGATCATGCTGCAGCCGATAAGCATCATGCCTGGGTACAAGCAAAGCCTGGGGTGCTTGCGCGACCCCAAAGCAGCCAACACAGATTCAGAATCAGTGTTGCACTCACTTGCTTTGGCTGTGGACTCTTGGTGACATCTCTGCCATTGCTTGCCAGAAAATAGCACACAGTGCTTTTCTGGATGGGCTGAAGCACCCTGCCGTGGCCAAGCTGGCCAGCTGTGGCTCCTGGGGACAACACCCCAACAATGTGTCCAGGGATTTGGAGAGGATGGTGGTTTCAGAAAGCAAGGCATCCTTTGCAGAGCCCACTATCATCAAGGATTGCCCAACCCCAGGACAAGTGAGGAAGAGACCACTGACGTTGCTTTTTTTGACCCTTGCAACACTGTGGCAGCATTGCAGGAGAGCCCAGAGCATTTCCAGAGCATTTTCCAACCAGATGGCCTACATGAGTTTTGGAACAATGTTAGGCCTGATGACCCCAGGCTTACCATACTCATGCAGGAATCCAGCTTAAAGCATGAGGACCTACCAGCAACAGTCCCACTCTGGGTTCATGGAGATGGTGTGGAGTATGCCGATGGCAAAACTATGATGGTGTATTCCTGGGGCTCTGTCTTGAATTCAGGCCCATCATTGAGCTCATCTCTCTTGCTGCTGGCCTTTCCCAAAGATTGTGCAGTGAGTGCAACCTGGGAGACACTGTGGTCACATATTGTTCCTTCATTTTCTAAGCTGCAGGCAGGAAAGACTGACATTGTTCACAATTACAGGTTTACAATCTGGCAGGTCATGGGTGACCAAGAATTTTTTGCCAATGTCCTGAAGCTGCCACATTGGATGAACGCACAGCCCTGCTGGGAGTGTAAGATGACTGGCCCTCAGCAGCAGAGCAACCTGGACAAAGACATTGAAGGCTGGAGGCTACCTCAAGAAGAAATGAATTGCAGGATCTCAGCACACCCACTCTTTACCATTCATGGAGTATCCCATTTCAATATTGCACAGGATGCAATGCACATCCTGTTTTGCAAAGGTGTTCTTTCTCATTGTATGGGCAATGCGTTGAAGTTTTGGTGCTACACTTGCAA